CAACTGTTATGACAGGAGAAGAACCGTAAGCAAAATATGGTATCGCAATTTGTCATATAAAAGTCTTTACTTATTAGCCAGTTTAATATTGATTTTGCAGTTTGATCTGCGCAGCTAGCAGGAACAATGACTATAAATATTCTTATTCTCGTTCAGAGGGACAGGCAGGACACAGCATTTAGCAAACGCATCTTTTATCTTTTTATGCAGCCGGCCACAACTGAACCATGACATATCTTTTCTTTGTATAAACTTTGTCTCTAGGTAGATCCTCTCTTGTACCCAAGATAATCCTCTCATTAGTAAATAGTATATATATGATCAACTATGGAATCTCTTCCGATAACTCGAGTTATTGAGATCAATTAGTTCTTGACATGGTATTAGAGCTTTCTGTGACCGAGAAGTCTTCTGTTCGAATCCCGATAACCCTCCATCTCAGCATCATCGATCATTGTTTTCAATGAAATCCATCTTTAAATCTCGATATAATTCGGTCTAGTATTTACTCATTCGAGTTCAATGTATAATAGAAATTCGTCTTTAATTCATGATTTAGTCTAATTAATTATCACGAAATAATAAAATATATATGTTGGGTATTTACGCTTTATTTCCAACTCACGCCAGCCAAAGGTTTGCTCATGCTCATGTGCCTTACAAAAGGGCAGAGGGAATCTCAAAGATTTGGGCACTCAACATGAATCTTCCTCATATCTTTTTTATTGCTTATATTATTACAACCCCAGTTTGTTTTTAATTCATCATTCTGTTCAAGCCTACGTACCATTGGTTGTGACCGCCTTTTTATGCCTCTCTCTCTCTCTCTCTCTCTCTCTCTCTCTCTCTGCATAATTATTCAGATTAAACTGCAGAACCCTAGCTAGACTTTAAACTAATCGACAGTCAAAAGCATGGTGGGTATACAATATAATATGAGAAATTGATTATAATAGTTGTGGGTTAGGTGGCATTGGGATCTTTGCATGGATCACTATAACTAACTTGGATGGCTACATCACTACCCACTAATCATAATCTCGATTTGGAGCCATTATTGTAAGCAAATACTTAAAAATCTTCTATATTGTTGCAGATTATATATGTAGCTAGCTAGGCAATGATGAGGAGGGGTCGTGGAATATCTCTAGCTTGAGATTATAATACATGTATATGCATATGAATATGATGATGAGCTAGCGTTCGAAAGTATCTGGATGATATATCTCATATGTCTTCTCTTACGAAATTCAATTTTTTGTAATAATCAATATTATTATTATTATTATTATTATTATTGTTATTATTATTTCTAATCTATGTACCTTCTAAATTATGGTTTTGTTGCTACATAATATGAGACAATTTTGAAATTGCTCCATGAGGGAATTAAAACCGTCAACCAATGACATAAATATTGGGACGAATAACTTATGTTTCATGAGGGAATTAAAACTGTCAACAAATGACATATCTTCCGTTCATATATTTGTAATGTACCTAACCCATGATCATACGCAATGAACTCTAATATTTGGGAGACATGGACCAACCTAGGATTCAATTTCATAGTTGACTCCTCTTGTTTACCTAGAAAGGTTCAGGGGAAAAAAACTATAAAACCATTCAATGCATTAAGCTTGTATGCATTAATGAGATTACTTTATCAATAAAACATAAGTAGCTAGCTAGCTAGTTTTTGTTGTTGTTAATGATGATGATGCATGGTAGGACAAAATGAAGAGGGTTGCTTGCTAGGCTAACAAATAGGTAATGAGCCTCACGAATAGCATGAAAATCCATAGACAATCATCTACGATACAAGTTGCATCTAGAGGTGACAATTTCGATTTGATCTATCATATCTCGTACGTTTGGCATGTTTTAAGATGGATAATACTCGTCTCTTAGGCAAGGCGAGGTTGAACATGAGTACTCGTTTCGACATGACTCGTCCTATTTTCAACCCTTTTGTCTAAATTATATGTACTTTCACTCAAACTACTTACTTAAAGTTTTTACTTTTGCTACATCGTATTTTAGCTATAATAAAATTTTAAATAGATGGGAACCTCAACTTTTCGAATTTTTCAACTACATTAACTATCATGACAAAGTTTGTTTCTCGATTTTTTAGTAAAAAAATAATTCATGTTTAAAGTTCTTCTCTTTAAAATTTATATTTGTATGAGTCAAATTGTCCGTCTCACGCTCAAAACAAAATACCCAACCTGCTATAGGATTGGTACCAAATACCCATCCCGACCTACCCATTGTCATTCACGGTCGCATCAACAGATAAATTGGTAGGGTTTGTTTTATTCTTATGTGGAACCCAAAAACAAAAGGAATTGTTGTCTGCCCTTCCATTAGCAAATTGTAGCCCACGCAAAAGAGAATGCAGCGTCGTAGTGGCCATAGAAGTGGAAGCTGATTTGCTAGGGCTTTCAATCCCATCATTTGGTCTCTCCATTATTAGTTGTGCCTAGTTTTCTCCTTCTCCACCAACACCAACCCAACCTTTCGCAAAGTTGGTGGACAAGCTAAGTGACAAACCATTGAAAATTTGAAATCCCCCTTGATTATGATGATTATTTCATTTTGTTGGTTCTCGAGGCCCTTCAGAAAAGAAAATGGTTCAAGTTAAGCAGAGGTTTTTGATGAGTGAAGTGAACACTAGGTCTTAATTATCTAAATCATAAACTATAAACTCTAAGATGGTGTATTGATTTTTTCTCTATATTTGGACGAATTATAACCGTCGATTATTGTTTCTAATTAAATTGATCTTGGGGTATAAGATTTAGAGAATTAAGACTTAGATTTTGATCTTTAAGGGTTAGAGTATAGTATCATGTCATTAAGATCAGTCAATTCAAGTTCTGGATAGCATTTTCTTACTCAAGGTAAGCGGTACCCTGGATTTCACCCTGGGTACCGTAGAACTCCCCCTATATATAATTGAATTTTCAAAAAATAGTCTGAGGGTAACCATCAACTATAACTGGTTTTTTGCGAACCAAACTCAACAAACTTCCACTTGCATTAAAACTAATCATCCATGTATCCGATAGCAATCGAACTAGAATGTCCATCAGGGTTATGTCATGTGAGATGCTTCATTAGTAGATTCGTCAAGTTGTCTTCAATTAAAATGTTGGATGCTTTGAGATGGCGCATCAAACATCAATTATCTCTCTAATAAGATGAAAGAGTTCTAGAAACCTAGATAGTATGAATCGTTTAAGAAGAACCTAATAAACCAAACTCATATTACCGTTATAAAAAAAAAAGTATAAAATATATATGTTGGATATATCGCGAGACCGTAGTTGCTTTGCCCGCCATTTTTTTCTTATTGGTACAACAATATAGTTCGTTAGAGGCGACAATGCTAGAAACAACACCAAGCTTGGCAACGAACTTTCTTGACCCCTATCACTTCTTTATCATGTGGAAAAGCTACATATTCGATTTTCGTTATAGAATCGGCTATGTTATAATTTATATTGCTTTCAACTCAATAATCTCACAGCTCCACCATTCAAACCAAAAGCATATATCGACTTCGACAACAAAAGAATTATCACACTATAATCCAAAAACTAACATAATTATTTACAATTTGAATCCCCATAACCATTTACAATGAGTTCATCCTCCTAAGGAACTAACATATTCAAGAATCAAACCAAAGTTTTATATGCTTTAAGGCCAAGCTTTATCCATAAAAAAATTGGAGGACTTTATTTTGCGTTAAAAGGAACAAACCTGGCCTGTTAAAGCTAAAGTTGATTGAGCAAAAGCAAATAATAACAATATAAACAACATTAAAGCACTAATGAGTAGTGTACACAAATTATGAGAAGCCGTAAAAAAATTGAAAATAAAACAGGTTGACCCAATAAAGGGTAATTGGGCTGCAGAGATCTGAAGCACGCTTACACCAGAAATTAGAAAAGGGTCAATTTTTCCTGTCACTGCCACTTCCCTCCTGCTGTAAATATCCTTTTTACCACATTTGCCTTAAAGTTGCTCAAAGATCAACAAGCTATGCGGCTTGTTTTTTACTGGAGAGCTCAGGAACCAACCTATGTACTGTAGGTGACTAATTAGTAATTACCCAATAAATAAATATGTACAAAAGCTTGAGTACTAGCTTGCATGTGGTTTGCAGACTCTAACATTATCCATTTAGCAGTTGCTGGTGATGTTTAAAATGAAAAAAATTATTAACATACTCGCTTCTTGAAAATTATTGAATTTGAAAATTACGTGCATGGTTCGAACAATATACATGATATTTAGATAGAATGCTTTACTATTATGTGACATGAGTTTATGAAGGTGAATGGAGTATGAAAATTAGGGCTTTATTCATTTTTTGAATGAGCGTGTAAGATATGCCTACATAGATTAACAAGAGAAGATATTATCAAATCTGAATAATAATATCCGTTTTAGTGATAATGAAGATTTTTTTTTTTTTTACAGTAGTGAAATGAAGATTGACCGAGTGACATTTTTCCAAATTTATGACAAATATCAGCCACCATGATAGTTACTCAGAGCTACATGATCTAAAACTTTATACAACAAGACTTCAAAATAGTAAAATATCACGTTAATTCCTTAATTTTCTCATTGAGAATAAAGTATATGCTACCAAGTCAATTTATTACTGCAAAATAATCAATTATCTGCAAGTAATTTCAAATCTGTATTCCTCAAATTAAGGTACCAAATCAGGAACCAAATCTATGAACATTATCACCATGACCATGCATTTAAAATAGAAGAAAACTAAAGCAAGAAAAAATTCATTAAAAACATGAAAAAATTCAATTTTATAAAATGAAAAAGTGGTAAATCCTAATCTACAGTTAATAAATTGATTTCTTATTAATTAACACTATTATTGACTTCTTAAAGTAAGTAAACTAGCTTTCTGCAGCTTTGCTCTGGACGTCTCCTCTTTAGATTACCTTGGCATTAGCGCAATTAACTCCAAGTTAATTACGTCTCCTCTTCAAGAACATTCACTTCAAGTTTGTAAACAGAAAAAAAAAAGATTGAATCTTTGATTAAACAGCAAAGCATAACTCACGCCGGAATCCAGCTCTCACCGTCCATTTCTACTTCTCCAGATTCCATTCTTTCCCCTCCACTTGCTTCCTTTCCTTCCTTCCTTCCATTTTCCTAGCCCCTGCCTCCCAATCCTTCACGAGCATTAAACCCAACAATCACAACAGTGTCAACGCCGTCTTCCGCTCTCTTTGTCTCACTTCACCTTTTCCCCTCAACCTCTCTCTCTCTCCAGTTGTTTTCTGTTTCCGTGGGTTCTGTTTGTGTTGAGTCCAAAAAATGACTGTGGAGCAAGGAGTTGGAGGGAATCAGGACCAGTTCCCCATTGGCATGCGGGTTTTGGCTGTCGACGATGACCTAACTTGCCTTATGGTTCTGGAAACCCTGCTTCGCAAATGCCAATATCATGGTCTTCTTTCTTTCCCCTTCTCAGTTTCTTCTGTGTTTTTTATGAAGTTTCTGTTTTGATTGGTGGGTTTATCTCCTTGATGTTTTGCTCTTTAGAGGGTCTGGCCTTTTCCCCCTTTTTTCTGCTGATGGTAATGGTAAATTTGAGATCTTTGTGATCCGTTGACTTCATTTAATTGAGGTCTTCCTTTCGGTGTTAGCTTTTGTCATACGAGGGGGAATTTCTTTTGATTGATTGCCTTGTTGGTCCCTTGGAAAGATGATTACTTTTGAAAGATAATTATGGTTGATGTGTACTTCCAATCATGAGCAGTTGTTGAGACTGCGTTGACCTGTTTCGCTGAATCATTGGATCTCATGGATCTGTTTAAACTCTCATGATGGCTAATACCATGGGAGAGGAATTGATTGCCAGATTCATATGGGTTTTGATGGTCTTTTTTGTTTTATTTTCTGCAGTGACCACCACAAGCCAGGCAAGGATGGCATTGAAGATTTTGAGAGAAAGGAGGAACGACTTTGACCTTGTTATCAGTGATGTTCATATGCCAGATATGGACGGTTTCCATTTGCTCGAGAAAGTTGGGCTTGAAATGGATCTCCCTGTCATAAGTAAAATCTCAATGCCTACTCAAGTTCTTATTGCTTCAACTGCTAGTTAAATGTTGTTGCTTCCATTTGCTAATTTTTGGAAATGTGTTGTTGATTGCAGTGTTGTCAGCGAACAGTGATCCGAAGGTGGTGATGAAGGGGATTACTCATGGTGCTTGTGATTACCTGCTGAAGCCCATTCGGATTGAGGAGCTCAAGAACATATGGCAACATGTTGTTAGGAAGAAGAAGCCCGATAACAAGAATAATGTTGACAAGCCTCATTCTCAGAGTGGTGAAGCTACTTCAGACCACAAACTGAACAAGAAACGAAAGGACCAAAATGATGAAGAAGATGATGACCCTGATGAGAATGGAAATGACAATGACGACCCCACCAGCCAGAAGAAACCCCGTGTTGTTTGGTCTGTGGAGCTGCATCGCAAGTTTGTCTCTGCTGTCAATCACTTGGGCATCGACAGTATGTATCTAGCTTTGATCTAACCTGTCAAGTATACCCCTTTTCAAAGTTTGCGTTTCTTAGTTTCTTGTTTCTCTCTGTTCCTCTTGGTAGAGGCTGTGCCGAAGAAGATCCTGGAACTGATGAATGTCGAGAAGCTGTCAAGAGAAAATGTGGCCAGTCACCTTCAGGTATATGTATAATGCTTCCCAATCTCTCCCTGTACTGGTTTAGAACTGCAGCAAACAACCTCTGAATAGTTTGCTTGCTCCATTTTTTCGTTTGTGGCTGCAGAAATATAGGCTTTATCTCAGAAGGATCAGTACAGTGGCGAACCAGCATGCTAACATGGCAGCAGCTTTAGTCAGCAATGATGCTTCATATTTGCAAATGGGTGGTTCTCTGACTGGACTTGGGCTACATAACATTGCTGGAAATGGGTTTCAGAATGGAGCAGGTTACAGATCGGTAACTTCAAATGGCATGCTAGGGAGGTTGAATTCACCAGCTGGCATGAGCATTCATGGTCTTCCTTCTTCTGGAATAGTGCAAGTAGCAGCCCATGTACAGGGTGGCAGAAGCCATTTGACTACTAATCAGAGACAGTTCCAGTCGGCAATAAGCAATGCAAATGTTCTACAAGGGATGCCTGTTTCATTAGAACTCAATCAAATACAGTCTAATAACAAGGGGCTTAATTACATTAGGCAACCGATTCCTCCCACTGTTGAAACTACTACAACTGCTTTCCCTCCCGACATGAGTATGGTTGCTGGCGGCGGCTCGAATGGTTCTTTTGTTGGAGGGGCTTCAGAAAAGCCCTTGTTTCTTGACCATGGTCGATGCAATGAGAACTGGTCAAATGCTGCTGCTCATTCCACCGGCAGCACAACCTTGTTTCTTGATCATTTTGATGTGTCTTCTCGCTCTTCACTGCCCATTCATTTGCAGGGCACAAAAGCAGACTTAGGATGCCGGGTGGCATCAGCTAGCAGTAATGGTGCGCAAATGATTAGTAATGCTCCACAGCAGGGCTGGGATAGATTGGGTGCACCATCGTATAACCACTTAAATAATGTGGGGTCGAGTTCAGCGACCTTGTCGATTCAAGATAATGGTGGGGTGGATATGACTAACCAGAGATGGGATGCAAACAATGCAAGCTTGATGAGAACTCCGAGCTTCAGTTCAACTACACAATCAAATTTCGTCGATGCCTCGTTGGTGAAGCATAATGGTCTTTCAGTGGAGATACCTGGGGTGTCGATTGCACGCCAGTCAAACCAACAACATAATTTGCAGACGGGTCACAGTAACTTCGGCTCCTTGGAAGATGTAGCCGGGTTTATGGTCACTCGGGTAAGTTCTGTTGTTTAAGATCTTTACATGACACACAAACTAGCTATGTAAGTTCAACAGAACATCATCTGACCAACTTTGACTGTTTTTTTGGCGGGATGGTGGTGCAGGAATGGACTAGGTGAGACTAAATCAAGGAGAAAAGTCTTTTCTTGACAGTAAGTAGGCAGCAGGCATGCATATAACATAGATTCTTATGAGGCATCATGCAACAGGAGGCATCAGTGGAGGAAGAAGGGTTTCTCTTCTCTTTCTGGAATTCTCAGCTGTATGCACCACCATTGTACCCTTTTTTCCCTCTTCTATAGAGAATTGCAGCAAGGTGTATGTGGTCTGGTCTTTGTTTTTCACTTCCTATTGTTTCGCCTCATCGCCTCTGTTTTAAGTTTTAACTTATTAGAGCCAGACTGGAAATTTTCGCAAGAACAGTAATGGAAATCATTACCTATTCTGCAATAAAGTGTAGCCATTGCTATTTAGTAGGTGTTGCGGGATATGGTCTCCTTTCTTACCTCTGTCAATTAACTGTAGAATCTAATTATGCAGACAAACGGGTTCTCAATAATAACAATTTATTTATGAACCAGTATTTTGGAGTAAAAATGTAAAGAAGTTATATTAAGATTTAATTTTATCTCTCAACAACTCGAATTAATTCTTCAAAAATTAGTATGAATTGTATAGTTTGGGATGAGAATCAAACTCTAGATATAATCATTAATAGATTAAGATTTGACATGTTGGTCGCAAGAACTTAATTTAATAAGTGAAATGTCAAACCATTTTTATTTTATATGGTCACTCACCCTAAAAGAGTTAGATACTTTCATAAGTGATACTCACCCTAATGATGTGCCAAAAAATAAAGAATGTCACAAATAATTTTTTTATGAAAAATGTTATTCAATATCGATTATGGACTGGCAACCGTGGAGCCAACCTTATGGCAGGGGGGGCCAGATTATTAAATGTTTTCAGGAAACATATAAAGCAATACTTCTCTTGTAGTTCAGTGGTTGAAGTTAGCATTTTTTCAGAGGTGGGGAGTTCGACACCCATCATAATCATAAGCTATTTTGCCCAGCTGTGGCCTTTTTCAGCTCTTTTCCCTCTAGTTTTTTTAGTCCTTCCCCAATTTTTCTTTTTGTGTTTCCCTATAAGGAAGCTAGTGTTTCAATAATTTATTGATATATGTTGGGGAAGTAGAGAAAAGCCCAAGCCCATGAGGAGGGAAGGAGAAAATAGGCCCAAACAATGAACTAGGGCACTAGGCGGAGGACAGGCGCATGACGACAAAAGAAGAATACGGACAAGTGGTACGGAAGGAGGAGCTAGGAAAGAGGCCATCTGGCGAAGTGGTCCCTGCTGGGCGCCCCCCCTTGGGGTGTCCTCAGGCGGCCACGTACAGGTGCCTGACTCTCGTACGAACAATGCATTAAATGAGGCCGTGACGTGGGTTCAAGGGCCAGGGTGACCGTTGGGACTTCGTCGAGTATAAACAGTACTCGGTAGGTAGCATTTACGCAGGTTGGCTTCTCTCACTAAAATATTTCTCGGCACTTATCTCTCTAGAAAAGTGCACTGACTTAAGCTTCGGAGTGCTAACGGGTCGGCCAAGGCCCTTAGGCGCCTGTGGGTGCAGGTTCCAGGCGCTCGAGTGACGGATAAGTGGAAAGGTGGAGGATAAGCGTTCGAAGGTATCTGGGCTCAAACAATTGGCGCGCCAGGAAGGGGGCGAGCGCACGAAGAGGGTAAGCGCATGGAGAACATGAACGAAGGAAACGATGGAGAAGGCAATTCCCGATCGGGGAACTCGGATCACGAGGAAGGCGAGCGTCAACCGAGTCAGGAGTTGAGCATGGATGGGGAGGGACAAGGAAGCCCTGGGCGCCTATCCGCTGATGATGGCGAGTCTTTGACGAAAAGAGAGTTGTTCCGAATCATAGCCGACCAAGATCGGGCCATAGCGGCGCTCAAGAGGGAGTTGGAAGGGGAACGAAGTGAAGATGTGATGATGTACAGCCCAGGGGTGAGAAAGCGGGAAAGAATGGGGGAAGATTCAGAGTCTCTGCAATACGGACCGCCGCATGCCTCCGAGCAGGGGCACGACGTGTTTGGGCGCCCACGCGACGGGAGACTGAATGTCGAGCGCGCGCAAATAGGCCCAGAGGACGGCTGGGCGCCTAGGAGGATTGCTCGAAGGTTTGGTGTTCGGCAGCCTCTGGCACGATGCATCCTAATGGAGCCAGCGGGAACTACGATCCCCCCGTTACCGAGTTATGATGGGGTGGCTGACCCGGAAGACCACCTGAATAGCTACTTCACTAAGATGCAACTCTACAACAGCTCCGATGCCACATTGTGCAAGGTGTTTCCATCCACATTCGCAGGCGTGGTCTTGGATTGGTATCACCAAATCGAGGAGGGGCGCATAGAATGTTTCGAGCAATTTGCTGAGTTGTTTTTGTCCAAGTTTGCAAGCCGAAAGCGTCGGACATTGACCATAGGGGCGTTGTTTAAAGTCAAACAGAGGGAAGGCGAGGCGCTCAGAGAGTTCTACGATCGATGGATCTCGGTTGCCATGGCGGTCAAGGATGTTCAGCCAGCGGTGTTAGGGGTTTGCTTGGACGCATGCACCTCGAGCGAGGAGCTATGCCGGGTCCTTTCCAAGCGAGATGTGGTATCCACCGAAGACCTTGACCGAAGAGTACAAAAGGTGATTATGTTGGAAGAAACTTTGGCGGCGCGAAGGGCTGAAAAGAGGCGCCTGAGGAGTGATGAAGGTGAAGTGAGGCAGGCGCCCAGACCTGGTCCCGGAAATTTCGTCCCACCAAGGAGGCCAGAGGCGCCACGCCTTGTGCCGAGGAGTGCTGCAAATTTTACAGAATACAATGATACCCTCAAGAATGTGCTGCAATATGTGAAGGATAGGGGCTACCATATACGATGGCCGGGGCCCATGCGCGGCTAGCCTAACGAAAAAAATCTTGACAGATATTGTGACTTCCATCGCGACAAGGGGCATCACACGGCCGATTGTTACCAACTAAAGTCTGAACTTCAAACTTTAGCTGACAAGGGCATGCTCAACGACTTCGTTAGAAGGGTGGAGGACAGGACGCATCGAGCCTATGTGACGAGGCAGGCGCTGGAACCTAGGAGGGCGCCTGAAGAACTAAGAGCCCAAACCATGGTGCCACCCACAGTCAGAGAAGCGCCCAAAGAACCAGAAACTCAGCCGGCGCCTATTATACCACCACCTCCGTTTGAGGTGGATCAAGAAGGAGAACCTAGTCGTGTAAGGCTTACAGTCGAGTCCATAACGGGTACCCTTGACTTGAGAGAGAAGTTGGAAAGGTCTAGGCGCCTGCGAGCTGCGTCGCTGGAAGCAAGGGAATCCGTACACATCCACTTCAATCAGGAACCGGATGAGGCGTGCCAAGTCCCGTCGGAAAAGGCTCTTGAGATACAAGGGGTGATAGCCGGGTGCAAGGTGAAGAGAATGTTGGTGGACACCGGCAGCTCTATGGATGTCCTCTTCAAGAGCACCTTCGAACGAATGCAGCTGGCGCCTGAGTTGGTGCGTCCCTCAAATTCGGTGTTGGTCGGATTCTCCGGAGCGCCTGCTCAAGTCATCGGACGCGTGCGCCTCCCCGTGACTCTGGGGGACGAAGCGCACTGCGTAACGCATGCGGTAGAGTTTGGCATCGTTGATTGTCCATCGCCATACAATGTGATACTCGGTCGACCTCTTTTGGCACAATTTAATGGGGTAGCCTCGACGTGCCACCAGACACTGAAGTTCGTCGCTCCCCAAGGCGTGGGCGTCTCGCGAGGCAGGAACGTCCCACGATATGCAAGAGAAGAGGAGTCAAAGAATCGAAGTCGGAAGCATAGACTGAATATCATAGACATCCGTCCGGAGGAGGCGCCCAGAGCGGAGCCAGTAGATGATGAGATAACCGTAATGCTGGATGAAGGGCGCCCTGACCAACTGATACGAATATCGGCGCAGGCGCCGGTGGCTATGCAAGCGCCCTTAATAGAATTGCTGCGGGAGTTCGGAGAGTTGTTTGCATGGAGCGCCCAGGATATGCCCGGAGTGTCCCCCGAGGTTGCGGCTCATAGGCTGGCGATGGAAGAAGGTAAAAAGCCAGTGCAACAAAAGCGGCGAAACTTGACCCCCGAGAAGGAGGAGGCGCTCCGGCATGAAGTGGATAGGTTAAGAGAGGCAGGATTCGTGGAGGAGGCAAGGTACATCACATGGCTCTCCAACGTTGTGTTCGTTCCAAAGCCGTCGGGAGATTGGAGGATGTGCGTGGACTTTACCAACCTCAACCGGGCGTGCCCGACGGATGCTTACCCTATGCCACGCATCGACTTGCTGGTGGATGCGACGGCTTATCATGAAGCGCTCAGCTTCCTTGACATGTTTTCAGGCTACCATCAGATCCCTATGGTGGAGGAGGACAGGGCAAAGACGGCATTCATGACACCTTTTGGCAACTTTTGCTATCGTGTCATGGCCTTCGGACTAAAAAATGCAGGCGCCACTTATCAACGCATGGTAAATCAAGTCTTCCGCAAGCAGATAGGGAGAAATGTTGAAGCATATGTGGATGATTTGATAGTGAAGAGTAAGAGGCGCCTAGACCATATCCTGGACCTCCGGGAAACTTTCGAAACAATGCGGCAATTCAACTTGAGGCTTAACCCCAAAAAGTGTGTATTCTTTGCGGAGGCGGGAAAGTTCTTGGGTTTCATGATAACCAAGAGAGGGATTGAGGCCAATCCCAGGCAGGTGGAGGCCATCAGAAACTTAACTCCCCCGAGAACGCCGAAAGAGGTGCAAGTGTTGACAGGGAGGCTAGCGGCGTTGGGACGGTTCATTCCACGAGCCTCGGACAGGGGCGCCCCCTTCTTCAAGGTGCTGAAAAAGGCCACCAAGTTTCGATGGACGGAAGAATGCAACAAGGCATTTGAGGAATTGAAGGGGTTACTCACAGCGCCTATGGTAATGACAGCACCCGACTCACCTTGGGCGCCTTCCACTTTCCTCTTCAGTCTCTGGGACAAAGGCACATCATCCTCAACGACATCCTCCCCTTGAAGAAGGTCGACAATAGGCGCTGAGGCCTCCGTCGCATCGGGCGCCTCCCCTGTACCCAATGTATCAGTAGGCGCCTCGGGACTGGTAACCTTCTTGGGCTTGATTCTCTTCGGAGATCTGCCCTTTCGAGCGGGGCGCCCCTTACTCACCGAAGGCTCAGGCGCCTGTGTTTCAGTCGCACCTTTGGGGGAGGTGGCCTTGCCTTTCCCACCGGGTTTCTTGGTGCCTTTTTTCGCGGTGGGCGCCTTCTTGGCCACCAAACCCAGATTCGCGAACTGGGACTTCATCAGCGAAGCAACGGAGGTGAAGTCAGCACCTACACAAACAAAAACAAAGGAAACCGTTAAGCAGGCGCATGGATCAGGTAAGAAAGAAGCACGGGAGCCCGCAATATATAATAGCC